GTTTTTGTTAAAAGTTTCTCTCTTTCATTATTAAGCTTAGCTTGACACGTGGACTTGGTAATGAGAGTTTAAGCTTAACTTAAAGCGTGTTTGATTGAATTTATTTATGTTTTTTTTTTTATTTTGTAATTTTCTTAATAATCAAAACTGGAAATAGAAACGTAACTGAAACTGGGAGTTGCAGCTCAATGCACACACGCACACAAGCTTAAACGGCCTTGCGAAATGTGCAAGTATGTGTGTGTGTGTGCGTGTGTGTAAATGTATGTCATATTTCGTATACGTAAGCATTTGAATTTGATTCGATATTATTGTCTATACTGCGCTCAGTCTAGTTCTCATGAGTTTCTTGATGCGATTCTCAATTGCAATCCAAGCGCAACTCGACTCTGACAACCGGTTGTCAACCGTTTTAACTGGCTGTCAACTGCGTCTGTGCCGTGTCCCGTGTCTCCGTGTCTCCGTGGTTACAGCTAATCGAATAATTGCGTTCAAGCTTTGCGAAAGCCTCTCGCTGAACACTCGACAAATTGATCAATTGAACACTTGACTTGGCATTGTTTTGACGTGCCGCCCTATATTAAATACTAGAAACTAGTTCTCTTTTCGCCCACCCATAGAGACTACACTGCCAGCCAGAAAGTCTTCAAAAAAAACACGAAAATAGTTGCTGTTCCTGAAAGATTCGGTTCGTGAACCTTTTTTTGCCACACTTCTAAAAAACCTAAGCTTCCATTTCATTATCAGAAAAAAATCCTTGCTAATCAATAAATTTTCGAAAAAGTGTCGTTTTGTTCCGGTTCCGGCTCGCCTTTTTCTTAGGCAATCAATTTGGTTCCAGGTTCGGTTTATAAGAAGAACCAGATGCGATTACAGCGTTCAAACTGGTTCAACTTGGTTCCAGGTTCGGTTCATAAGAAGAACCAAAATAATTTGGTTCACGGTTCGGTTCATAAAAAGAACCAAATTCAAATGCCGCGCTCGAACTGGTTCAATATGGTTCCAAGTTCTGTTCATTAGAAGAACCAAATGCGAATGCCGCGTTCAAACTGGTTCAACTTGGTTCCAGGTTCGGTTCATAAGAATAACCAAATTAATTTGGTTCACGGTTCGGTTCATAAAAAGAACCAAATTCAAATTCCGCGCTCGAACTGGTTCAATATGGTTCCAAGTTCTGTTCATTAGAATCAAATGCGAATGCCGCGTTCAAACTGGTTCCCAACAGTCGCCCTTGGAATATTCCAACAGACTCTTTCAAGTCAATCAAATGTTTAATTTTTTTTTTAATTATTTCAGTAGAAACACAATATTACAAATTCAAGAGATTTCATTCCAAAAGCGACAAACTTTTCTAGAATATTTCTCGCAGTGCACAGAGCTAGCTTAATAGTTGACTAGACTATCGGACACAAAGCAGAGGCCCGTTTGCAACTAGATACACTGGAACACAGCTACAAAGATATACACAGCAGCGAGAGATACATATGCACGTTTCGTGGAGCGTGCAACATTTCCGTGTGATGCATGTGTCAATTGCATGGCGCGTGCGGCACAAAGTGTTGCGTGCGCGGGGTTCGTATTCATTTCCAAGTCCAAGTCGGATTGGTGTCCGGTTTTGGGGGTCATGTGAACGCAGCACAGCACTTGACGACCTCAGCTGACTGCCTAACGGACAGTTTTCCAAGTTGATCTACTCGCAATGCGCGGCAATATCGAGACAGTCAAGGCCCAATCGGCCAGTTGTGGGCATACAGTGCGCGTCACTTGCTTAGAAACAGGCACACAAATTGCTTCGGCTTTCATTTGAGCATATTTTCATTCTATTTTTAAATATTTATGGGCATAAAACAGTTTGTGCCAACTGACTGTTAGCTGAATTTGTTGACTGTACTTGGCTTAATCGATGTTATTGCAGAGATTCCACCTGCACGCGTGGAAAATTGGTGAAATACGTTTGTATGAAACATTATATGCTGAACATACGTTCAGCGTCAAACTCATTTGCCAAGATCTTTGTAAAAAGTGATCGTTTTACTAATTTGTAAAAGTTCAAATAGTTAAATGCTAAATGCATGCAAGTTTGATTTTCACATATACGTATATTTCAAAGCTCTAAATTTTCACGGATTTTGGGGAATCCAATTCACAAGCACAACATGAGCTTAAAACTGTTAATTTCAAGCTCATTTTTTCAGTATTCTTATAAGCTTTAATTTGAAAACTATGAGAAATTACCAGATCGAAGCAAATCCACGACTTTGGGTGGAATTAGGGAGTCAAAGTAGTAGGGCGCACTGGCGGAAAATGCGTGGAAATGTGAAATGAAAGACAATAGCTTTGCTCGAGTTAATATTTCTTATGATTTTCAGTGCTCAAGTCTAACAATTTTCCGCAACAAAAGTAGGCCTTGCTGTGTGACGCAGACTGTTAAATTTTTTAAACAATTTTTGTTTTTTTCGTGATTAACTTGATTGCAATCGACATTTATGAGCCTCTATCGTTCTGGACTTTGGTTAGTTTAATTTTCAGCATGACTCATCAATTCTTTGCGGGCCAACTTAACTTGTTTAAAGATCAACTTTTGCCGCTCGATAGGCTAAATAATCTATTTGTTATTTCATAATTAGTTCAATTGACTTGACAACACATGAATTCCAACTGAAAGCTAAGCAAATTGTATTGAGACTTGAAATCGGACCAAATATGGCTAAACATTGGGATATCTCTTATCTCTGCCTAAAAATCAGTCTGATTTATGGGGTCTACTAGCGGGTATTTCCCGTGTGGTGAGAATCTAAAAAAACTCTCGCTCTTTAAACCTCTTTAGACCCGCAAACTGTCAGTCAGTCAGTCACTTAATAAGTCGGAAAAATCAGTTTTATATATAGAGTTAAATATATATTTCTAAATACGAACTCACCTGCAAATTCACCGGTAAGTTTTTTCATCGACATCTATCAATAGTCTGGAGAAGAACTTATATTTGAACATTACTGAAAGAAGAGAAGAGCAGAGATAATATTTAGTAGCTTTAATTTGCAGCTCGCTTTCCAAATGAGAATCGCATAGGAGAGCAATATGTTTTATGTCATTTCAATACATATGTACATGCATGCATGTATGCAAATACATGCAAAACAACATGCAACATGTGTATACATATAATATTTCAAAAAAGACATAGTTTTCATAATAATACATACCAGAGCCAGCTCCATTAGAGCCGCCGCCTCCTGCTTGGCCCAAGCTGCAATCTCTAATAGTAAAGCCGGCGCCGACTCCTCTATAGTTGAAATCGCCGACTCCTGCTTTGCTTCATATGCAAACTCCCTTATAGTTGAAGCCGACTCCCTTATAGTTGAAGCCGACTCCTCTATGGTTGAAATCGCCGCCTCCTGCTTGGCCCAAGCTGCAATCTCTAATAATAAAGCCGGCGTCGACTCCTCTATTGTTGAAATAGCCGCCTCCTGCTTGGTCCAAGCTGCCGGCCGCCGACTCCAGCTTTGCTTCATTTGCCGACTCCTGCATAGTTGAATCGCCTTCTTCTCCTATACCCAAGCCGCCGCCTCCTGCTTTGAATAATCTGCCGACTCTTCTATAGTTAAGGCCGCCTCCTCTATAGTTGAAATCGCCGCCTCCTGCTTTGCTTCATTTGCCGACTCCTGCATAGTTGAATCGCCTTCTTCTACTATGCATAAGCCGCCGCCTCCTGCTTTGAATAATCTGCCGACTCTTCTATAGTTAAGGCCGCCTCCTTTATAATTAAAGTCACCGTCTCCTCCTGTGACCAAGCCGCCGACTCCTGCGTTGCTTAAGCCGCCTCCAATAGTAATGCCGGCGCCGACTCCTCTATGGTTGAAATCGCCGCCTCCTGCTGGGCCCAAGCTGCCGCCGCCTCCTGCTGGGCCCAAGATGCCGCCGTCTCCTGCTGGGCCCAAGATGCCGCCGCCTCCTGCTGGGCCCAAGCTGCCGCCGCCTCCTGCTAGTTGAAGCCGCCGCCGCCTTCTATGCCCAAGCAGTGAAGCCTATGAGGCTTATATGAATTTTTGAGAATCGAGTAGAGGGGCATTAGTAAAGAGTTCGTTTTTTTTCAATTTGCAGCGCAGCTAAGGCAAACTTGTTCTTGCACATATATAAAATATATACATACTTACTCACATATATAAGTGCGTATATAATATATACATATATACGTGCACACACACATATATACATGCAAATATACATTCTTATATTCACATATATGTACGTTAATACAAACATACATTGCATGCATACCAACACATAGACTCATACTTACATACTTACATACACACATACCTTAATACATACATACAAAAATACATACATGAACACATAAAATCATACATACATACAAACATACATTTATTCATACATACATTTATAGAAACATATATATAATATATACATATGTATATACATAAACACATTCATACATACATAGACACGTACAGACATACATACATGCATACATACACACATACCCATGCATACATACAGACATGTGTACACACATTCATACACACACACCTACACACATACATACACACATACATACATACATACACACACACCCACACACATACATACATGCATACATACATACATACACACATACATATCAACATACATACACACATACATACATACATACATACATACATAGATACATACATACATACATACATACATACATATACACATACATACACACATACATACAAACATACATACATACATATACACATACATACATACACACTTACATACATACATACATACATACATACATACATACATACATATACACATACATACACACATACATACAAACATACGATTAAGGTTCTTGGATCTATTTCTTTAACTAAATGAAATAAAGTTGGAATATTAAGACTATCTTAGGGCAACAAATATTTTTTTTAACATATTGCTTTATTCAAATTTCCCATTAACAAGTTATTCTTTGAGGAATTCTTCTAGACCTGAAGCGTTGAGAAGAAGGAGACGACGGCGCTGTCGGTTGGCAGGCACTGTCCGAAGGCCTCGATTAGCAGCGGTTCCGCGGTGACGGTGCCCATGAAGTCATCCAGTGAGACCTGCGACAAGCGAAGCATTATTGAATGGACTCACTTAAGATGCCGTGTTAGCACAGACCTTGCCGTCCTTGTCCAGGTCGAACTTTTTCAGTACGATTTCGACAAGATCCTTGACGCCCTCGTCGGGATCCTCGTCCTGGGGCTGCTTGATGAGGCAGTTGCGCAGTAGCGTGAACATCTCGTCCTTGGTAATAAACCCATCCGTGTTGAGATCGTAGACACGAAAGCAAAAGGCCGCACGCTCCGCCGGAGTGCCGCGCAGGAAGATCGACAAGCCAATCAGCCAGCCTTCCAGGCGCAGGGGCAGGCCCTCATGGGCCTTGTCCCAGCTGCAGAAGATGCGCTCCATGAGTATCTCCTCGGTGACAATATCGAAGGTGCTGTGCAACAGCTCACGGAACACGATCCGATCGATGCCCTGCAAGAAATTCATGTAAAAACAACCTGGACTGTTAGCTAACCTAGCTGGCGCACCTCGACAGCGGAATGGGGCTTGGCTATGGCCGCGCTCGTAGAGCTCGAGGCGAGCGTCTTGGCCGCATACTGACAATTCGACACCAGCTTGCGATAGATCCGGCACAGGGCATCCAGCTCGTCCCTGTGAACAAATATATGCGATATATACATTAAGCCCAGCAGGTCGGTGATTCGATCAAGCCGACCTCCTGCCTTGACATAAGATTTCTGGTCCGAACTTTCCCTATTTCTGGTTAGTTCTGGTTTTGGTTAGAATCCAAGTCAGCCTAGCTCCTTTGTCGTCCCTTGACCCTTAAAAGCCTGTTCATCTGGAATAGCCCTGGTATATAATAAACAAACTCAGCCAAGACGAACGAGCTCTGTGCTGATGTTACCAAATGTCTTGGGCTTTTTATAAGACGGAGTCCCTTTGGTTCAGTTAGGGCGCCTTAGACCTTAGCTTGTCTGGAAACCTACAGTTCCAAGGAAGCTAGGTCTTGCTTGCAACAACTTCTATTAGGAAACAGGATAAGGTTTTACTTAATGGCAGTTGTTACAGGTTGTATAAACAAATCGCTATAAATTTCAAGGTAAATAGATTATCTGGGAAGTCAGGAACTCAGGAACGCATGAGAGCTGCGCCTATAGCCTTTCATAGGTAAAGGGTAAGACAATTGCAATTGAGAACCTGCCGCTGGGTCTTGGGATATCCAGACGCTTGTACTCTAGCTCAAAGCTGTGTACCACAAAGGTAGATGGATTACCAAGAAAGGAAGGAAGGAACTTTGATTGTCTGAATGTATCTGTATTCCTTTTGGGAGCTAAGGAAACCCCAGTTTGTAAGACATTGCACTAGAGTTCCTCGTGCTGGATATTGGGATACTAACACTGAGTCCTCGGAAGACTGCACACCAACCTGGAAGATAGATTCCTTAGGAAGTGAGGAATTTTGACTTTGTAAGAGCTGCTCCTGCAGTCCTTGCTAGGCTAAGGACTTAGACGAAAGCTCTGATTGTAAGACCCTGCACCAGAGGTTCGAGTGCTGGGTCTTGGGCTAACCACACAGAGTCCTAGGCTGGTCTAAGAGGCTACCCACGACAGGCTTGAGCAGTGGAGAAGTAGGAGCAGGAGCAGTACTCACTTGGTAAAGCGCGTCTTCTTGCGCAGATTGTCCAAGAGCTTGGGATTTATTTTGCCGCTCAGCTCGTCCATTTTCCGTTGGCGCTGTTGCCGTTTGTTCTGCAGAGCAGCCGCTGCCGCCTTCGACTGGTTGCTGGAGTTTCGTTTGCCGCTGGCAAGGAATACCGAAACCGTTTTCAGTATCGTTTTGTTCGCATGTAGCGTGGATCTGCAGGCGCCGCCGCCTCCGCTTCCGCCACCAACGCCAGCCGTTGTTGGCCCCGCTGCAGCTGTTGGCAGCGCGTCATTTGTTACCCCAGCTCCGACACCAGCTCCACCTCCAGCTCCTGCTCCGTTCTTGGGTGTCGGTGTTGGGGAGCGACCCGCCTTGCCTGCCAAACAATTTGCCAGGATATGTCATTATAGAGCACAGTGTTTCGGCCTGCATATATATACAGCGAGCTGTGCGTGTGTGCAGGTGTCTGTCTGTGTGGGTGTGTGTGTGTGTGTGTACAGGTGTCTGTGTGTGCTTTGTGCTTGATGTGTCAAAGTCAAATCAATCCTCGACAGTCGACGCCATCGACACGCAGAGCGACGCCCCAAAAAAACATGGCACACATTGCCACACCTCCAATACTAAAGCCCTCCCCCCCTCCTTCCCTGTCCGCCATCTCCATATCGAGCTTGATGCGCCTCCGATCTGGCGGAGTTGGGCAGCGCCTAAGAAAAGGCCAATATGCATATAAATTGCCACCAAAATGGATAATAAACATCGTATATCGCTCGTAAATTGACTACAAGACACATACACTGAGAGAAATTTAAGTGCAAATCAGCTCACAAATTATGATTTCTATACTGATTATAATTATAATATTACTAATAAACTTTGTAATATTAGTAATAATAATAATAATAATAATATTAATAATAATAATAATAATAATAATAATAATAAAATAATAATAATAATAATAATAATAATAATAATAATAATAATAATAATAATAATAATAATAATAATAATAATAATAATAATAATAATAATAATAATAATAATAATAATAATAATAATAATAATGATAATAATAATAATAATAATAATAATAATAATAATAATAATAATAATAATAATAATAGTATTAATAATAATAAAAATAACTAACACAATAATAATAATAATAATGAGAGTAATATTAACCACACATTTTATTTCAATCTGCGCCAGCTAGCTCCCAATATTTTCTCAGTGTAAACATTCGAACCGCCCTCAATAACTTAACCCATTACAATTGCATTTGTTTGCTCACGTAATTCGGCAATTGTACGAGCTGATGTCTAGATGTCTAGCTTAACCCTAACATAGTGCCAAGAGAACCTACCAGAACCCACGTCCCCGCCCAATATGCCGCCCATCATTGCAAGCGCATGTTCTCTGTTTGTTTTTGTTCATGTCTATTGGCGGGCTTGTGACGTTGGGTACTTTAATTTTATTAGTACTTTGTATATTTGCAAAACAAGTATACGCTATGCGGATGTCCGGATGTTTATGCGAATATGCGGATGTGTGTCTTGATTGTTCGAACGCCCATAAAAGTATGCAACAATATGGGGCCAAGACGGCAGCGCTTGCTGTGCACGTAATTCCCATATAATTTGTTGATTTACCGTTGCCCCAAACAACAACAAAACTTACGGAGGAGGAATCTACACACAAGCGAAAATACTCATGCATAGAAAAATACAGTCTCACACATACGGATATACTCATACATATGAGAGCTTACACACTCTAGAGTGAGGCGCGTGTCGTGTTTTCTTTCGTGACACGAACTTCAAGAAGAAGGAGGTTTAAAAATAATAATGATAATGATAATGGCAATGACAATGACAATGACAATGACAATGACAATGACAATGACAATGACAATGACAATGACAATGACAATGACAATGACAATGACAATGACAATGACAATGACAATGACAATGACAATGACAATGACAATGACAATGACAATGACAATGACAATGACAATGACAATGACAATGACAATGACAATGACAATGACAATGACAATGACAATGACAATGACAATGACAATGACAATGACAATGACAATGACAATGACAATGACAATGACAATGACAATGACAATGACAATGACAATGACAATGACAATGACAATGACAATGACAATGACAATGACAATGACAATGACAATGACAATGACAATGACAATGACAATGACAATGACAATGACAATGACAATGACAATGACAATGACAATGACAATGACAATGACAATGACAATGACAATGACAATGACAATGACAATGACAATGACAATGACAATGACAATGACAATGACAATGACAATGACAATGACAATGACAATGACAATGACAATGACAATGACAAGACAATGACAAGACAATGACAATGATAATGATAAAGGGAAAGTATGTGTTTTCCTATTGCTGTTCATGTTCGCGTCGTGTTAAAAGCAAGCTTGCACGCGTCCATCTCTAGCTTACGCACACACACGCACACACACAAGGGGACTCAGACATTAACATGTAAACACTTTTTATCTATTAACTCCTTAGGGTAACCCTTTCGATTTGGCCTCGGTCTGTTCATAGTTTCCCGTAATTTTTTTGTTTTTTCATACCACACAACCGAAATTTGGTGCGCAATGAAACACAACAATTGCAGCTGCCTTAAGGATCAGAGGTGCACTCCGACGAAATTGAAAATATATTTAACAAAGTGTGAAAACAGGGAGAACTTTATAGATATGTATACCTCTTGGAGATACACATATATCTATCTATTCTTGCCATTTGAATTCCTTGTTCAGCTCGCATTTTGAGCATATTTTCGCAAGTTTTTGCACAGTCACACACTTAATTGCGAGCAATTTTTTTTCATTTATTTGATATAGTGCTCTGAAGTTTGTTACCCATAGTTGTTTGGTGTCCTGTTGCTGCTGTTCCTGCTGCTGCTGCGGTTGCTTGCCAAAAACTTGAGAAATAAAGCAAATTCCTTGAGCAAAACAAAAGTCTTAACTTCTTGAGGCAATCAACAAACTCAAGTTTCCAAGGCGAAACGATGAAATGTGTTGACAAAACCGTCGGCAAATTGTCAAGCCATTTGCCATAAGGTAGGTCGTCCTTATGGCCAGGCGAAGGAGGCGCCACCAGTTGAGGCACACTTTTATTGACAAAACTTCAGCTCTTAACCCAAATCCCATTGAACTTAATAAATGGGTTAGAGCTTAACTAAATACCTGTTATACTCGCATACAAATCAACATATTGATTTACGTATCTAATGCATTGTTGTGACTAATGAAGGCTAAACTTAATGTACTAATGCAATTACCATAGAGTGCAATCTATTAGAATTTAATGAGGGCTTCAATTTTTCAAATATTTGCACTTCCAAAAGTCCAGAGAAATTCTTTGCTCTCAGTTGTCATCAGTAATGCCATATTGCCTTTGCCCAATTATTATTGGATTCAAATTCGTATTAATCTTCAATTTATTTTTACATAATCATTTCATAAACACTTTGTTAAACTTAAGCATAAAATATTGTTAATGTTAGCACAATACATAATTAATAATAGTATGTTAAAAATTACGTTATACGATTCACTTTTCACTTATATTTCATTTTGTTATCGTGATTTGATTTGTTTAAAAACTGTTGCAGGCTTGTCACCCACACTTTTTGATTTTAACCCTAGCCCCACCTCCCCCCAACAAGCATAATATGTGTGTGTGTGTGTGTGTGTGTGTGAATATATATATATATATATAGAAATAATCCAGCTGATCAATTGATTATGTGGTTCCGATAGAGATTAAGAATCTGAAAGCTTTTGTTCTCAGTTTTCTACATCCAATCCACTTTTGAAATAAAACTCCGCTTTTTGAATTGGCATAGGAATAGGATAGAAGCCATAATCTCCCTTTCCCTATCATTCCTCTAATACAAAAAGTTCGAAAATAATGCTCTAAGGGATCTATTGGAAGGCCTTGACGATACGAATCGTAACAGATCTGGCTTAGTTTGAGGACAACTTTGAGAAAGATCTGGATAAGTTTGTAAACGATCTGGAACCAAGGGAACTCCGATTCCAGCGACCTTTATTCCTCCAAAGTCTGTTGATAATGTCGTGATATATCATTTAATTTACAAGAATACCTTGGATGTATACTCCGTTTTTTTTTGTTGGAATTCACCCATCAACCTATTATTTCAATTATTTACTCAAATATTAATTTATAGAATTTATAGAATTATTTCTCCATTACAACCTAACCTAACTTGAGCCTAGGCGAACCTATGTCATGTCTACTTATTTTCCATACAAATTTTTATTCTGGTAATTCTTCGTAAAAACATTTACCAACAACTTGATCTAAAGAACTTGGTTCAGTTGATAAACCTTCAAGATCCTTTATAAACCTACTCAGATCTTCCCCTGAATTTGATGCTGCGAATATTCGGCCAGATCTGGAGCCAGATCCAATATATCTATATATACCTATATATACCTATATATATATATATATGTATGCATGTATGTGTGATTGTGTTTGTGTTTTAGAGTTGTGTATTCCCAAACTTTAGTTTTTTTACTGCTTAAAGCTGTGAGGGGGGGGGGGGGGGGGGGGGGGGGGGGGGGGGGGGGGGGGGTTTAGCTCAAAACTGTGAGGTTAGGTTCCGAACTTTTTGAGGTTAGCTCAAAACTGTGAGGTTAGGTTGGGAGAATTTCGAGGTTAGCTCGAAACTGTGAGGTTAAGTTAGGACATTTTTGAGGTTAGTTCGAAACTGTGAGGTTAGGTTTGGAGAATTTTGAGGTTAGTTCGAAGCTGTGAGGTTAGGTTCCGAAATTTTTGAGGTTAGCTCGAAACTGTGAGGTTAGGTTGGGAAAATTTTGAGGTTAGCTCAAAACTGTGAGGTTAGGTTCCGAAATTTTTGAGGTTAGCTCAAAACTGTGAGGTTAGGTTAGGATATTTTTTAAGGTTAGCTCGAAACTGTGAGGTTATGTTAGCACATTTTTGAGGTTAGCTCGAAACTGTGAGGTTAGGTCGCAACTTCGCCTGCTGTAGCTAAGAATAAAGACTCTCCAGACTCCATATCTCTATATATATGTGTGTATATATACAAAATTGTTATCGTTTTATTGAACGCGCTAAGTTAACTAGAATACACAACTCTACACGAACTGTACGATTCGTTTAAATAGTAATTTTTAAATTTCGCTTAAAATTTGTTTTGTTTTGTTTTTTTCTTTGTTTAACGCTTAAATAACTTTACTTTATGTCCATCAAAAAAAAAAAACAAGCACAAAAAAAGACAGCTTCAAGAGTTTAAAGACAAGACACAGAAATTGCAAATGTTAAGACAAACGAAAATTTGTAGACGTTGCATTTGCTTTTTTTTTCCTTTTTTTTTTTGAACACACACAATCAATTGGCAACCTAGTTATATATGTAAATATATATATATTAGAAAAGAAAAAGAAAAAAAAACAACTTGTTTAGCTTAATAATAACATTAGCTTAGGCATTTAACATGTAGAAATAAGAGCTGCGTCAATGTTGTATAATTACAAATAAGAAAGTTAATAAACTATTTGCCAATTCTGATGCAGGGCTAGCCCCAAGGCGGGGCTAGCTAGTCAAGTGGTTGGGCGTGGGCGTAGGGCGTGGCTAGGCAGATGACATAACGTTTGTCAAACGATATATGGAATATATACTCTATAGGGTATATACAACTAACTTTAGGTTTATATGTCAGCGTGTGTGTGTGTGTGTGTGTGTGTGTGTTGTTTTTTATATCTCTTTCTAGTTTGTGTACTGCTTTTAGATTTCAATGCTCTAGGCTTTCGTTCAAAAATTATTATCATTTCTTGCTTTCGGTATTTCAATTTTTGTTTTGTTTTGTTTTTGTCGTTTGTTGTTTGTTTATCAGCTACTATAATTGCTATATTACTAAGAATTGTTTCAAACTTTTAGCTTACGTTAATTAACATATATATATATATATATATGTGTGTGTGTGTGTGTGTGTGTGTTAGATCATATTTCGTATTTATAAGTATGTGCGCGCACATCAACATATCGCTGCGATATGCGCTCCATCGAATCACGTTCTTTATATATGCATGTTGTTAATGTATCGATATATATATATATATATATATATATGCATATTGTAAATATATATATATATATAGATATATACAACTATCTTAATATTGTTTGCTGTGGTTTTTCTCAATATATATATATGTGTCGAGGCGATCGGATTGTATTGTACGATCAAATCGTGGCATTAGGCTGTCGCTATTATTGCCGCTGCTGCTATTGTTTTAGTTAATTGTATAATATAGTTAAACCGATATTATAATTCCATATCTCTGGCCTCGTCCTCACTGTAATCGGACATGCTTGACTCGCTGTCGCTGCTGTCGCGCTCCTGTTGCGCCGCCCGCAGCGCATCCTCGGTCGCATACCGTTGCACATAGTCGGCGACCTTGCGATGATATTCCTCCGGCTCGTGCAGATAGAGGGCGGCCGCGTCTCGATTTAATGGATCCACAGGATTTGGATATGTTAACAATTGTGGCAGAAACGATTCAAATATATTCGATAGATCGTACAGTGCTGTCCATGCCTGATTGATAACATCCAAACAAACGGTGCCCGATGATTCATCAATATTTGGATGATAGATCTTATTGACAAAACCGATGCTCGGTGATTTAAATGGATAATTATCGGGCAAATAGACGCGCACCTTCCAAACGCCGCCCTCATAGGGTGTGCCCGATGGACCAAAGAATTTGACATGGAACTCGTTTAGGCCGCCCAAAATGGTCACTTCGTGTTTTGATTCAATTAGCTTGATGACGTCATTGTCCATGCGTCGTTTACCAGCACTGGGCGATGACATTTTGTTGCTCCTGTTGTTGTTTTGTGGTTTATTTGATGTGACAAATATTGCCCTGTTCACTAGGTTTAAGGCTAAGGCGGTGTTTGTTGTTGTTGTTGCTGTTGTTGTTGTTGTGTATTGCTGCTCCCCTGTTTCGCACACATATAAAATCGGCGCAGCAATCCAGGAGCTGCAGCTGCTGCTGTCTGCCTGCAAATAAATCAAATATCAATTAACTGTCATATATACATATATATATGTATGTGCATATCCTTATCAATTGCTATCAGCTAGGCTGACCATGAGTCCGCCTGCGCACATGCCCAAATCTGGGTCAAATCACATTTTCAGGCCAGTGTAACAGTTACGTATGCTATCTCGCTCGCACGCGCTACGAAACTATGTCAGCGGCGCAGCAGCAGCAGCAGCAGCAGCGCAGCACAGGGCAGCATCAGCAACAACAACAATGCGTGTGACGTCTTGCTGACGCTGACGCTGCGCTGCGCTGCTTTCACTCACACACACACACACACACACGCGCGCGCGCGCGCTCAATCTAGCGGGTGGGGGCGTGGGCGGGGGCGGGGGCCGTGCAGCAGTTGCCATAAGCAACAGCAATAAAAGAGCGTAGCGCATCAAGGACATGCATGCAGTTTGATTCGTTGTTGTTGTTGTTGTTGCATACTTTCCAGGGTCCAAGCGCATGTGGAAAGAGTTATTGGAAATATTCCAATTCTATTTGCGTGCTCGCTCTCTCTCCCCCTCCCACTCGCATAGAACCATTGGCAACAATTGGAATTGTTTTCGCTTTGATTATTTTCATTTTTTGTCATCTGTCTCTATGCCCGCTTTTGTTGATGACGCGCCCCGTCCGTTACGATGGGCGGCTGTTGTTTCCAAACAAGCTCAGCTGTTTAATGTTATTGGCTGGCTGCCCAATGAGTGTGAGCGAGCAGGCGAATGAGCAAGCCAAAGAGAGTGAGTGAGAAAAAGAGAGAGGTAGGTAGCGAGAGAGCTAAGTGTTAGCAGCAACCCCCGTGACAAACCTACAGTGCGCTCCAACCATTGTGAAACACAACATTTGTATTTGCTACTATATATATATATATATAACATTTATATATTATGCGTGTGCTTTTCGAACATATATCTAATTGTTTGCTTAAGCTCGTTGACTCAACAAACTGCGTATGAGTAATATTTATAGAATAGCTTTCGCCATCACATATATATATATATATACATATACATATACAGTAAAAACTCCACTCCAAGTTGAGCATTTATTTTCATGTTTTTCTAAAACTATGTTGGTTTTTTCTTCTTCTTTATTTTAAGCATTGAAAAACGTACAAATTGAAATAATTTGCAATAAAAGTTAGAATAGTTAATAGAGCGACATGCCTGTATATTATTCAGTCTTTGTCTATTTGTATTTCCTAATTTCACTAATACGTATGCATGTATGTGGACGGTTAACTGTCAACACTCACTGTACGCTCTCTTTTTGGATGAGCTAATTCAATTTGCGCTCGCCTACACTCTTTCTTGCCCGCTGACCCGCGCTCTCTCTTTCCCTCTCTCTCTCCATCCAACAGTAGCTGTCTCTCTCGCTCGCTCTTAATGCTTGTGTACACACTGCTTACAGTGAAGCTTTTCAATTAGAAATATGTAGTTAAAGCGACTGACTTTAAGCTTTTGCGAAGTTTCACTGTACGCATTTGTTTTTGACACACACACACACACAGTAAACTGTTGTTATTTGTGGTTGTTGTTGCTGCCTCCCAGCTGTGTGCTCATCGCGCTTTGCATGCGTGTGCGTGTGCGTGTGTGTGCATGCAAGAAAAAGAGAGAGGGAGAGGAAGAGAGCGCGCCTGTGCCTGTTGGTGTAAAGCCCACGCTCTCTGGAAGATCAACAACAAAAACAAAGCAGTGTTGACTAAACAAATGACACTCAGCTGCAATTTCGTTCAAGACAACAACATTAGCAGCAGCCATACATATGTATGTGTGTGTGTGTGTGCATTGTTGCTGTTATTATTATTTCTGTTGTTGCTGTGGCCCACCGTGACTGCTTAATAAAGTTGACACACACACACATACGCACCGAAATGTGTGCGTGTGTGTGTGTGTTTCTGATTATGTATTTATACATTTTAAATTAAATCACGCAAAAGAAACGCAAAGTAGAAGGAAACAAAGCGAAAGAAAGCAAATGCGAAAATGAAATGAAAATTAAATTGTTGTGTGCATGCTTTCCCTCTATATATTCTGTTGTCTCACACACACACACACACACACACACGCACGCACACACGCAGCTGACTGCATTTTATTTATGTGTTGCATTTTCATATAATTACGAAACTTTTTGAAAACAATTTCAACAAAAACACGCACACACATTTACAGAGATAACGCTCGTGCTGTTGTTGTAGTTGTTCTTGTTGTTGTATGTATTTCTTTTGCGTTTGCTTTGTCTCATTTTTTTTTTTTATTGCTTTACTTTTGTTTGCTGCCGTTGTTGTTGTTGTTGTTTTTATTGCTTCTGCTTTTGGGGTCGCGTTTGTTATTGCGTCTGTGTTAGTTTTGATTTTGCTCGCCTTGTTTTTTTTTTTTTTTTTAATTTTTTTTTGTTGTCTACTTCAACTAGTTACTGAAAATTAACTGGCAACAGAGTTTGGAAGCCCCCAGCGAGCAGCGCACGAACATCTGAAAGCAGCATAAGAAGCAGCGCAAGCAGCAGCAGCAGCAGCAGCAGCGACAGCGACAGCGCCAAACGCTGCGAGGGAGAGAAGGCGCGCAGCACAAAGAGAACAAGCGAGCGAGAGAGAGCAGACGAAACAGAGCAGCTCATCTAATGCGAGCGACAGAGCGAGAGAGAGCGCACAACGCGCCAACCTGCTGTCAAGCAAACAGAGCGAGCGAGCGAGCGAGCGAGAGAGGGAGAGCACGCGAGAGGCCCCCACAAAGCACATGTACAAAGCAAAATCACAATAACAAAGCGAGAGCCAAAGCCAAACGTTAACAACAACAATAAAAACAAGTCAAAACTATACAACAAATATTAGGCGAAAGAGAAGCAGCAGCAACAGCAAAAGAAGCAACAATAACAACAGAAAACGGCAGCAACCAGTCCCCACGATTCTGCCAACCAAAGAAAAGCTATAATCAAGGACAGCAGCTGTAAAGCACACACGACGCTAAATGCAGTACACACACACAGACACACACACACACACACACACAAGCAAATGAGAGAAGCGAGCAACGCCGAAGCTTTCAATGCCCTTCATTTGGCAACGAACGCGTTTTGTTTAGTTCGCAATGACGCACAAGTTAGTGTGTACCCCTAGTCAGCGAGCCCCCTCCTTTTCGGACGATCCCCACACACGCACACACACACACACACACACACACACACACACACACACACACACACACACACACACACACACACACACACACACACACACACACACACACACACACACACACACACACACACACACAAAGAAACACAGACAGCGCTTCCAAAGCGCACTTCCAGCACAGGTTCAAAGTTTGAAGCCTGGCAACCAACTGCAAGGAAATTGATTTAAGTGTGAACCTAACGGGGTCAAACGCATGCACATATATACGTGTGTGTGTGTGTGTGTGTGTGTGTGTGTGCACAGTGGAGTAAAGGCTGTGCGCAGCTAAATTCTTAGCACGCAGCAGTTCGTGAATTCACAAAAGGTATTTGTTCTATACAGCAACCCCTCAATCTCTCTACCCCTGCCCCCCCCCCCCCCCCTTTCTCTAAACCATAGGGCAGAGCACGGTCATTGACTGCGCATTAAAGTCTACCCAAGTGCATAATGATGCATGCGAAAACAGGGGGTGGGGGGGCGTTATATTGGCTAACGGTGCGGGGGGGCCAATATGGGCTAAGGCCAACAAACAGTTAAAGCTGGTGAAAAAAAAATAATACATAAACAAAATGTTTGCACACAGACACAGTAATATGTATGTTTATGTATGCATGTATATGTATGCGTGCGCATGTATTGGTGTATGTTACATTTCCGTTGCTGCTGATAAGATTCAAAACGCAAGAGCAAAGGCAAAAGCGAAAAGAAATCATAAAAACACAACGCAATAAGCGTGCTAAAGCAAAGTGCGTAGTAGAAGAGCAGACAAAAACAAGAAATACATACATATGTATGTATGTGCGCACACACACATACATACATATGTACATATCTATGTAAATAAGCAACGAAGAAATGCCAATTTGACAAGTTCTGTATAACAGTTATTTATAACAATTATGGCCGTTATCAAGCTGTGCAAAACAGTTTGCAGCAGCAACTCGGAAGCAGAGTGGGCAGCAACAATTAAGATAATAGCAAGGATACATACACACAAACACATCACAATACACACACACACACACACACAAGCGCTTACTAACGGCTTTTCAAAAATCCGCTTTTAAGCGTCTAACGGTAGCAGTCACGTATCGACTGATAGGCCTAGGTGCAATTGTTGGGTATAAAATAAAAAAAAACAACAAAAAAACAACCAAATTACAACGGCTATTTTAGCATTTGCACTCTCGCCCAGCAACTGTGAGCGAAAGACAGGGAGAGAGATATATAGATAGAGAGCGCGAGAGCGGAGAGCAACAGTCAAAAGGCAAAACAAAACTGCAAGGGCTGCCTACACATGTACAAATACCTATATATGTACATATATATAAATATAAATATATACATATGCATGTATATGTACGCAATGTGCATACGTAAGAGCCGTATTGGGCGTACAATGTACAATGACCAAATTTTCAAGACAGTGGCAACACCAGCAACAACAACATCAGCAGTTAGAATCGCTGTCAAAGAGTGCAGCGATCTCTGCAGCTGGCCACACTTAATGGCTGACGTTTTCCAACTGCTGTTGTTATTATTGTTTCAATCAGTGTGGCACCCCCACCAGCGCGCACACACACACACACACACACACGGACAGACTTTGCATTTAATTGCGAGACCTTTGCTATTAAACTAATTCAAGTGTAATTTTGGTATTTCGCGAACAAATTTGTGCATTTCGATTGGCCATGGGTGATACCTTTTATTTTGATTTCTCCAATTTATTATCGTGGCTATTGTTGTTGGTTGGATGGCTGGTGTACGAGTGGCTGGCGCCGCCTTTGATTTTTACGCTTCGATACTTCTCCACATTGTTGTATGCACCGACCGTCTGTGCATTTTTTCACGATTTTTTCGTATTTGTTTTTGTTTTATTACGACAGCGACAATTGTTTAACTAATATTGTTTAATGGCTCAACATTGATGAAATGCACTGCGTTGCTATCGCTCCATCCGTTTTCTGTCGTTTTCTCCCGTTTCTGGTTGTCGTCTTCGACTTTCCAGCTGTTATGCTCTCAGCGAGCTGAAAATTGCAATCGATATGAGTCGTTATATTCGATAGGTGTACAATTTAAAAATAAGCTGCCACAAATCGTCCCTGTTGATTGCTCGCCTATCGAATGGTGCCGGCAAAACTGGTATGCAGCTCGGGAAATCAAATCGAAGAGCCTAACGTATAAGCTGTGGACTGCTTTTTTATGTACACTCAATGAAGCCAGACATTATGTCTTTTATTAAGACAAACATTGTGTTCTGTATACTTCAGCATAGTTCATCGGTATGCTGGCGAACAGAATAGCATGCAATTTTGCTTGCCACACTGTGAACAACATACTAGAGTGCAATGTTAACTGAGTGCCGCGCTGTTAAGTGCACAGCTATTTAGCTGTGTGGCAACACTACCATTGCACTGGCAACGCTGCCGATATGTGCAAGTCGTATATACACAAAGAAAATTGATAAAAAAAAAAAGAAAAGAAATTCAAATAAAAATCATGAAATTCTTAGCAAACAACTGTTAATGCACACAAATCACTTATCACCGCTAGCACCGAGCACAAAACCGCACACCATTCAGAGCGCAGGGGTCGCGCCCGCACACACACCCACACCAAACGCCAACAAAATGGTAAGTCTTAAGGCTGAAGAAAAAAAAATGCAGCGAGAAAAAAAAAAATAGAAATGATGCGATGGTCGCTTTACACCCAATACTCCATTGTCCCTGAATACTAATGCACAATATGCGTCATCGTGCAGCATGCCGCCTCGATGACGTCCGTGGAGGTGCTGCTGAACGAGTTCTATCAGCCGACGACGAGCAATGCCCGAAAACGTGAGATCGAAACCAATTTGTTGGCATTCAAATCGCAGCCGGAGGCCTGGCAGCTGTGCCTGCGCGTCGCAACCGCTAGCAATAGCTTTACAGAGAATCAATTTCTATGGTTCTTTAGCACCTCAACGCTGGAGCATACGATAACGCGTCGTTGGACCCAGCTGACGGCGGCGGATCGTACGCTGTTGCGCGAAACGCTCTGGCATAGCTATGCCCAGCTGGTGGTGCTCACTGGCGCCCGACGGCATCGGGATACATTGGCGCAGCTGATTGCGCTGCTGGGCAAACGTGAGTTTCCCGAACAGGATCCCAATTATATGCAGCACTGCATGGAGCTGACCAAGACACGTTTCTGTCTGGGCATCAATCTGTTGCGCGTCACATCCGAGGAGGTGGTCAGCAATCGCGGCGACCTGACCACCGAATGGAAGCAATACTTTCACTCATGGTAAGGCTGCGTCTCTTAATATTAAACATTCGACTTTGTGATTCATGTAACTCGAAACTAATTGTGAGTTCGTCTACCCGTTCTCCTTGTGCTCCTCCGCCTGCCCCTGTCTCTCTCTCTCTCTGTGTGTGTGTGTGTGTGCAGCGTTTCCATGTGTGTACCCGATGTCCTGGAGCTGCTCACCAAATATCTACTAATCGCCGTCTGTCATATCAATGGCAAAGACATACACACGACCATACCCAGCACCTTCATGGATTTCAGTCTAACCACAGCGCTGCCAAATGACAATCAATTAAGGTATGTCTCAACTGAAAGCAAGTCAATTTCCATTGGGGGCAATCCTTCAACTAATTATCGATGCACAAGTTATCGATTAGCAACAGGTGTTACACACATTTAACTAACTCTAGGCAGGGAAAGTAGTTCATTATCGAGTTTGTGTTTTAAATTTGTAGAGTTATTGTGCTTTCTGAAATATTTATTAGAAATGAGCTCTAAGCGTTTAGTATAAAGTTATCGATAACTTTGTGTCGTTTCGTAAATGCGAAATGTGGCATTATTTTCGTATGAATACACTTAAGAAATGTCTGGAAAGTGTCCAAGCTGAGATTTCAAATTAGCTAGCAAAATATTTGAAATATTCCAAACTTACAGTTATCGATAACCGTTTGAATAACCTAAACTGGCAACAGTTATCGATAACCGTCAGCCTTCAATCAAGTTGAAATATGAAGCAAGTAAAAACTTAGACTGCATTTAATTATGGGTATTCTCTCTTCTTTAACCTATTAAAGAGTAATCGAGTTATCGATAACCAACAGCTGTTTCGTAATGTTCGTCTGAAATTTAAAGCAAAATTGCTGAGAATTAACCCAGTATCAACTGCAGTTGCACTTAATGTTCGTTACAGGCTGTGTAGCTACTCTATTGAGCTGCAATTATTATTAATTTGACTTTTATAAGCACACAAAAAAGCTATCGATTACACGACAGCTGTGCCATATTTCATTATAAATGATATGGAAGTAGTTTTCAATTAACGAGATTCGAAACTTTATTATAAATCGATCAGTGTGGGAATACGCAAAGTTATCGATAACCCAGATGTAGAAGAATCGATATCGATAAATTGCAGCTGTAATATCTTGTCTCTATTGGAAAGAGAAAGAGGAAAGTTGAAAGAGGTGTAAGTTTTGACTTTATGGAATTAGTTTCTCAATAATTCAAATTTGAAATCTTTAAATATTGTAAGTCCACAAAAAGTTATCGATAATCGTTGGCTGTGTTATCGTTAAAGAGAAATGTGCTTGAAATTTGTTTAAGATAGTTTCAGAGTGATTTATACAATGCAAACAGCATTCAAATTTTGTCGTAGCAGAAAACCTATCGAAGCATAATTAGTTTGAGGAATACCCCTATTAATGCACTTCTAACAATTTGTTAAGTTTGATGTTTGATCTTTTACAGTTCCTCTGTACTGGAGCTGCTCAGCTGTGTACAGCATTTGGTTAGCTGGATATGCACCGAACTGATCTCGGAATACTTCCTAATGAGCATACTCGATTTATCGCAATGGCGTCAAAACAATGAGCCCATCTCCCTGGCGGCGCTCTCGGTGCTGAACGAGCTGCTCTATCTGCAAAAGGTGTTGCCCTTTGCCGGCACATTGATGAACGGCGTTAGCGGACTGCTGGAACAGCATAATCGCAGCAAACAACAGAGCGAAATGTATAGCGATAAGTTTCGTGAACTGTTGCGTTTGTATACCACCAAATATGCGGCGAAATTGTTTCAGGAGCCCGAAGTGCTTGAGCCATTTCTTAATCAACTTTATCGCTGCACCACCAAATGTATGTGCGCCAAACAGTTGGCAATTCCATTGAACGTTTATTCATATATTTTGATCTATTTGTTTTGTGCAGTACACGGCGCTCTGGACTTTACCGAAAAGCTGGACATTTGGACGCCCATCATCAAGGTGATTGCAGAGCAGCCAACGCAGATGACGCCCTTTCATGGTGATATGATGATGAAGCTGGTGGATGAGATAATGCGACGTACACAATTTGAGATTAACAAGCCCGAGCTGGAGCTGCTGGACAATGAGCTCATGGAGGACGATGTGCGTAAAAAAGAAAAACTCTATATTTAACTTAATTCCAGCTAATGTTGAGTGGAAATGTCTCTGGAAAATATTGAATTTGTTTAAAGCACATTTGACTCGGGCTTGAGAAAGCTTTGAAATAGAGTAGAAAGCCCTTTTTTAATACTTATAGACCATGCTTCACATTTCTCTACCATTTCCAAGTGGTTCACATAGTTAAAACAACTTATTAAACCCCTTTTTCGAAGTGTTGAAAAATGCGGCTTTAAACCGATTCGATTCGAAACCGATTGCTAACATCGATACATATCGATATCTAGCAATCGATTGCCTTTCTTTGCATTGGTTCAGTTTAACTGCTCGCTTTGCAAATCGCTTCAGTTTCCCATATTCTAAGGTTGCAGGCATGAATATTGGTTCGATTTAAAGTAGACTTATGGCCCCGTAATCTATCGATATCTAACAATCGATAACGTTTCTTTATACTTATACTTCATAACCGATTTCCAGCCTTGATAAACACATATCGATATCTTGTCATCAATAGCTTTTCTTTGAACCTGGTTCGTCTCCTTTAATAGGTACAGGGTATAGAAATCGATACATATCGATATCTAGTAATCGATAGCTTTTAATTTGTACGTTCTTTTCGGGTATCTCTTCTTTCCAAACATTTTCAAAGGGTATTGCATAGGGAAATTAGGAATGCGTTATCAGATGGTCTCGTTTTAAAGCCAGTTTGCAGTTTCGATATATATCGATATCGAGTAATCGATAGCTTTTAATTTGTCCGCTGTTTTCGGGTATCTCCTCTTTCCAATCATTTGTAAAGGCTATTGCAAATGGAAATTATGAATTCGTTATCAAATGGGTTCGTTTTACAGTTTTCAGTTTCGATATTTATCGATATCTAGTAATCGATAGCTTTTGATCTGTACGTTCTTTTCGGGTATCTCTTCTTTCCAAACATTTTCAAAGGGTATTGCATAGAGAAATTATAAATTCATTATCAAATGGGCTCGTTTTAAAGCCAGTTTGCAGTTTCGATATTTATCGATATCGAGTAATCGATTGTTTATCATTGTTTCTATTTGTAGCAAACACCGACAACGGAATGGCAACAGTTTCTGGACCAGTGCTTCGAATGCCTGGCCCTGCTGGCAAGCACACGCGGTGCACACATCGTGTTTGCCCAAGTCTTTGCACATTGGTCACGTCCGCAGACGTATCTGTTGTCGCTGGAACTGGCCCTGGATCATGGCAGCGGACGTTGCTATGAGATGGCACGTAAACTGAAAACGGCAAATGTTGGCGAAATATTGCGCGATTTTGCGACCGTGTGTCAGGCCGTGGTGCGTCTGGCACCGCTCATGGATCCAACACAGGCGTCAGCCGATGTAAGGGGCGAAATGGAGAGCCAGCTGCAGGTGCTATCGGATCGTTTGCTGCAAACGCTGCATCTGCTGGCCAGCAATCGTGTCGGCGGCAGCGAAGCGGAAAAGGCGAGCTTTCAGACCGACATGGACAATCTGTAGGTTGAGAAAACCCAAATGCTTTTCCACTCGAAATGCTTATTGATAAACATATTCATTTAATTCTGATAGTTA